AAACCCTGCTTGCTCGCATGGCTGTCCTTCGTCTAGTGTTCTGCCAATCCTGTTCAGGATGACTCGTGTGAGTTCGCAGACCACAGACAGCAGGCAGAGCGTTACGTACAGGTTACCCTTTCTGTACAGCAACACCTCTTGCTGGTTTTCCACGAGGTGGGTACCTTGCATTCCGACAGGTGAAGAGTCGAGCCAGAGTTTTGACAAGAACTGGCGGAAGATTCTTCAGATGTTCGGGTCTGATCCTGTCGGGACCGGGTGCCGTACGATTCTTCACCGACGAGATGGCGTGTCGGACTTCGGAAGGGAGAACTGCAGGAACGACGTATCCATCCTGCTCCAAGCGGTATGGTGGCAGGTGGACGTGGCTGTCAAAGAGATCCGAGTAGAAGTGGATGACCTTCTCCATTGCCCTTCTGGATGCGGTGATTGTTCCATCCGGACGTCGGAGGGCGGTCATCTTGGTCTTACAGTTGGCGAAGTCGCGGCGGGCGTTGCGTATGCTCTTCCCAGCCTCTGCGGCTTCCACCAGTACTGCTGCTCTTCTCTCCTTGAGGTCTTCCTTTATCGCTTCTCTGCATAGCTTCGCAAGCTCAGACGTCAGCTGGTAATTGCCTGCGGCTCGTGCGGCTCCACGTTGGCGAATCAGCTCGAGAGTTTCCAGAGATAGACGCTTCTTGGTAATCTTGGAACCCTCTGACTTCTTGGCGCAGTCGTGAAGATGTGCAACAAGCCGTTCGTATTCCTCGTCGATGTTGTCGATAACGGAATCTTTCCAGAGCCCAGCAAGAGAAGTGAAGACTTCCCAACTGAGGTCTCGGGGCTTCGCTTCTTGACTTTGCGGCTCTCTCTCCTCGCATCGAAAAGCGGAATCTTGCGCGAAGGAGACGGTGGGATCCCGTGTAGAACTTAGGAACAACAGCGACATCGGTCAGGCAAAACCTTCGATTGAAGATGATGTGGTCGATCTCGTTATGGAATTGTCCACCAGGAGACTCCCATGTCCAGCGTAGAGAGTAGGGCTTTCTGGAACTGCGAGTTACCATGGATGGTATGGGTCGACATGATAAACTCAGACAGCCTTTCACCCTGCTCATTCCACTCCGTTCCGTGAGTTCCGATGTGAAGTTCTTCAGCCGTTCTTCTTGGTCCGATCTTAGCGTTGAAATCACCGACGATGACCTTGAAGAAGGTATGATCTTCCTTGTAGAACTTCTCCAATTCCATAGAACGCTCCAAGCATCCTCGTCGTAGAATGTTGGTGCGTAGGCGACGAAGATTGTCAAAGCTGGAGTTGAACCACATCTTCTCAATCGCAAACGTCCGATTCGGGTCGTCAGATTTTCGTACGAATCGATGTTCATGGCCAAGTGCGTGTTGACGAGGACGCCCACACCGCCAACGCCTCTGCTGTCGCATGTTCCGAGGAACAGTTCTTCTCCAGTCTCGTATACGGCGTGTAGCGGGCGATGCCTCCTCGTCTCGGTCAGTCCGATGACGTCGTACTTGATCTTCCTGGCTTGCAACATCAGATCTTCGATGTGAGCTTCCGATGCAAGCGTCCGTGCGTTGAAAGTACAGATCGTCATCCTAGTCCTGGGCGACTTAAATCTCCGTTGGCCCTGTGATTCCTGCAGCCTCGCCCGAGACGTCGCCTGTCGGTGGTTCCCTCAGGTTCAGCGTGAGGCCCATAACAATTACTGTTTTCGGCGTGAAGAAATTTGACCACGCGTAGCTCGCCAGGCTCTGACGTGGCACCCTCCGCATTGGTACGGTTTGGAACAGTCCAAACCGTTCACCCCACGCCACGTTGAGGCTGCGGATAGGATTTGTGGTGGGGGAACCAGATTTAAAGTCATATTTCTCCGTTGAGTAGAGCCCTCGCTCATCAATTCCCCGAAAGCTTTGGACCACTGGTATCTTCGTTTTTCAACAAGTCTCAACGAGTAAATAGCTTTAATACCACTTTAGGCGAAAGTGAAACGTTGTACCTATGCCGTCAGACAGCACCTTCACCTGACAAGTGGTTGAAATTGCACGATTTCATGTAGGGCGAATGAGGCGACTGATCAGTAGTGTTTGTGTTCTTGAAGTGACCCATGATACTAGCACTCAGGGTTGGCACTATGAAAAGTAAAGGCGGCCCTCCTGTAGTTGTGTGGTACTATCCATTTGTTGATCAGGTTATCCAGGAACAAGCCGTATACACCGCAGCGACTTTTGTTCTCTGTGTAGAGTCGCTTGAAAAGTCACAGTCGGATAGGGCCATCATCCACATAGGCCAAATTAACTGTCAAGGCGGAGTCGGGCGCTTCTCATCTAAGCTATGCTACAATTATTGCTTTGGGGTTTCGGTCGGCAGTTGTAGGATGATGACTCACCGTCTCTCTAGGGCCGCTTGACGCTTTCTCCGCCAGTCGCGAATGACACTTTTATCGGAGAACTTACTGAGTCTACAGGAGAGGAATCGTGTGAAATCGGTCTAGCATCTGCTTCTACAAGAACTAGGCTCCCATACGCACAACCCCTCACCCTCCTCAATTTATCGGACATAACTCGGGCAGCAGTCGCAGCAGAGATGTCAGTGTCGCTGAGCAACTCGCTTTCCACTTGTCGCTTGATTCGGGAATCAGGCGATCATTTTGACCAGTTCGGCTTCTTATCAACTTCTCGGAAACTTTCTCTGCTGCCAAGTTGTCGGTTTTCACAGATACATAGCTAAAGGGAGGCTGTCGTAGCCTCTTCACTTTTCCTGCCATTCCTCTATATATCTCAACAATTTTAAAAAGGATGGCCTAATACAAGATGAATCAGGAGATGCAATTCAACTTCGGGAAGTTGGGGACTATTTGTACATTAACAAAGAGGACTTGTAGTAGAGGGCTCCACCTCTCTCATCACGTTGGCTTCCATATATTAGGCCGTCTCATTGATAAACACAGATGCTTCCGAAGGACTGGCAGTAAAGCAAAGGGAAAGGACTGCGACATTTATATCATCTCAAAGCTATTACCTTCAACTGCGTATCTGTGAGTTTTGATCTCAGAAGTCACAAAGGGATCGGCTCTAACAAATAGGTGAAAAAACCCCGTGGACCAAACTCTGCGCCGTCCATGAAATAGTAGGGCGTTCATAAAGGGAGTGCGCAGAGCTCCAGTTGACCCTGCCAAACCAATAGTTGCCTATAACTGTGCTCTCATAATGAATTGTGCAAGATTTGGTTCACAAGCTCAAGAAAAGAGGAAAGAAAGTGTCGCGGAGCTCCCTAAACTTCCAATCCACTACAAAAAGATCGGATGGGAACGGTGAACGGAAGCGCGCTTTTGCGCTGAACGAGTGTGATACTCGTGTTCTGGAGCTCAAACTAGGCTTAGTGTCGAGTTTTGCCAAATCTGAGATTTCGTCCATTTTCTGAAACAGAGGGGTAACCAGGTGCATCGATTCCCTCGAAGGCTCGTTCCGGAATAACTGAGGCTAGGCCCTCATAAACGTGTGTATGATGGTCAAACAGGCAACAGCAGAGGTTATACTGCTTTTGTAAGTTGGAAAACAGCAAGCAGAACGCAGTGCGTCCAGGTTTCAGGCCCAATGGCGCCCGATAGGCCCATGCCAGCCTCCGATGCTGCTGTCGTTTTTGTCGTGCATTTGTAGCTCTCCGCCTCGTTCGTTTTCTGATCCTCTCTCGTCTCTATTCAGCTTGTTCCCCGCTTTCGCGCATTCACAATCTGCACCACGTTACGCTCGTCCAGTGATCATGATAAATTGAAATGAAGAGGATCTTGATACGGGCGGTTTTTATTACTTTTCCTTCAATATGTCAACAATCCACGGCAACTCGATTTCGAACCGTCGTTACTATGCAATAGGAGGCGGAATGGTGGTAAGTGAGCAAGTGCACGCGCTACGCATAACTTGCGCGCGACGGGTTTCGGAGTCCCGGCGTGTCACTCCCGTCCAGTAACCAAGCCTTCTATCCTCGGGACGGCTAAAATGGTACCGACATTTGTCTGAGTAGGATGAAAACATGACTTGTGCATCGGCTGGCCACCGCAAGTCATTGTATAGGCCACATCGATTCTGAATGGAAGTAGAATGCGTGCCGCATCCCACAAAGGGATTGATCAACGGCGAAGACTTTATCCTTTTATCCTTTATTACCTCTGCAGTGTAGTCTAGACTTGCCTTTCAGTTGACTGGCACTATCCCCTATTAGATACACAGTGAACAATAAACTATTTCCGCCAAATCTCAATTTCTCAGTGAATCATTGCCCTGCTCCCAAATATGACTCTCATTTTCACGTCTGTTCCATGTGGCACAGGTTTTGTGACGCAGCATAACGCAACAAATCGTGCTGCCGAATCCAACGATAAATAGTGTCCTTCAGGAGCGCTCATGAATGGCACCAATCCTTCAGAAACACCACGTCTCGGTGAGACCATGTCCCAAGCCACGCAGAAGTTTTTCAGGATGTGCAGAGGCCTTATTGAGAAAATGCAAAACGACGAGTGTACGGAGGGTTCAAACTTTTGAGCTTACAGACATCAGGCCGTTTGACAGTCCACTACGCCAATGGAGCAAATTTTCAGTGTGCTCAGCCACCATTCATATACTTGTTCGACTTGAGTGTTCTCAAGTACTGGTCACCTCAATAACTGCGTAATCCTGTTTTAAGAATGCTTAGCAGATTTGGAAGTCAGATTCGAAGTCAGCGTCCAGAAGGGCGTCAGTCGGTGGTTGTACAATTTCAAACGGCCACTTCCGCCAGCACTCCTTTACTGGTTAGCCTGAAACTAGAATATTACTTCTTTATACATCCCATGAATTCGATGCGATACCAGTACCAATTGTGAAGCGGCGCGCCGTTGGAGCAGCACAGGCAGCGTGTATGGCCATGTGCCTTAAGTGCATGTATAGGCGACCTCTCATCACTTCTACTTTCGGCTGAACAGAAGTCGGAACATTCATCACAACTGTTCAACTTCGAACTCGGGACGGGCATGCACGTATCTGAACCCTTGCCATGAAGCTTTGACTCCACCTTCAAGGTTACGCGCATTTTTTTTGAGAAATTAAAACTTTTTTTGCCTAAACTTCTTAGAATTTTTTTCAAAATCTTTCTCCAACAACTGTTTGGTGGTCACTTTTCAGCGGAATGCTCATGAATCATTGAGGGAATCATGGCATGAAGATCTCGGAGAAGCGAGTGCTGAAGCGGCACTCGTAATCAATGATGTGAGCAAAGTATGGGAGACCACAGGCGAAGTTGCAGTGAATGGTCTTTCAATGAAAGCTTATGTAGGAGATGTGCGTTCTTGTGTCGTGACCTTTTCAGTATCGTCTACTGATTTGACTACGTTGATTTGAGTACGTTACTGACTCGGATAAGAATATTTGGGAGGACGTCATAGATAAGAGTATAAGCAAAAATCACAGAAACCTGTGCAGGGCTGCTCCTGTGTTTGCAACGAAGTACTGAGACGATAACTAATTGTTTATAGTGCTGTAAGAAGGAATGAGAGAAATTTGACGCGTTAGGAAAAATTTTTATCCCGGTTATTGACTTTTAATTTTTCTCCCCTTCATGGTTTTCTCCGCCTTCAGGCATCTCGTCGGTCATAAGTGTGGCCTCTCCCCCCCCCGCCGCTCGACGGAAATTTTTTTTTGGGGGAGAAAGTAGCAGAGATTCATCGACAGTAGGGGGGCGGGAGAAGGGCAAAGTGGATATGAGAAGCGTGATAAACACAGAGGAGAGTGATAGGTAGGGGGCCGGGGGGGGGGGGGGGGGAGGGGCGGGGGGCGCGCAGGGGAGGGGGGGTGTTAGGAAAAGGGGGGATGGTGGAGACCTTACCGAAAGCCCCTTTAGGGAAGTCGAACTGACATCCCCATCTCACACATCACGATGCTGTACCCTGCTCGGAAGAATCGACATCAATAAAGTATTCAATAAAGACACTGATAAGTGCCGTTCAGCAACTGCTCTCGAATTTTTTTCCTTCATAGATATGAACTCATATTAATAATGGCATTTCAGGTCACCGTACTTCTCGGTCATAATGGGGCTGGCAAAAGCACGACATATAATATGATTTGTGGTTTTACAAGTATAACGACAGGTTAGTTTGCTTCATTTCTTCAGGTGTAACCTTATCATTTCATACTATTGTAAGAGAAAATGTCACAAAGCATCCAATGTATGAATTGTCCTTTGCGATATAAAACATTTTTCACTGACCATTCTTTAAAATTTGACTCTTGTATAGAACCTAACCTTCTGACCTGCCTTAATACTCTTTGGCATTTTATACTCCCTTGTTCGTTGAGAATATTTCCATTCCAATGCCAGGTCTTCATATTCTTCCAGTGAGCGAGGAGCCAGATTCGCTCTATCTGCCGGACTGTTAACGCTCAATGAAAGGAAATCCCATCACATTTCTTTTGAGTTGTTCCCTTTACACTTGCATGGTGGCAGGGCACGAGGAGTGAGAGCAAGATAGTGAGAAAGAAGTTAACATCATCTATATCAGCAATCTTCCCATTTGCTATGTGCGAATATAGAGCGAGATCGAATATCTCTGCTATTCAGAGCGTGCGCTTTGAATGCCTTCATGGTGGTAGGCGGAACAACTCCACACTTTCCTACCAATTCGTATTAAGTGCGCATTCAGACTTCTCGATCGCGCGAACTGGATTGCGCGGAATGAATTACGTGAACAAGATCGGACGAAATGGATCGCGCGAAGTTAATTTTGCGCTATCCAGTTCGCGCGATCGCGCAGTCTGAACGCGCTGTTGATAAGAATCAGCTTCTTGAGCGGAGCTTTTGCATTACGAACTCTCAAACGGAGAACTTCAGGTTTCACCATGTGCAAAGGCCTTTCTCACAATGACACGCTCTTATTGAAATACTGTTGAATATGTATGGAACACAAGGAGATATCTCTTGGTTTTTTTGAATAGTAGCATTGGTCAGGAGAGAAATCGATTTAAGGCGATGAAATAATTGACACTATGAAACTAGCAGAAATGAACATTCATAATGTAGTTCGCTGCGGACGGTTCGTGTCAGGCGGGATGAGTTTGGCGCGGTGCCAAACCCGTTCTCCACCAGTTGTTAAAGCGAGCAAAGTGATATGACTGTATCATATCGTTCGTATTACTCGTTTTCTACCACTTTTTGTCGCATGCGCGCTTCAACAAGAAGGCAGAGAACGGCGTGACACACTCATACTGCCTGACACGTACAACCCTCTGCAACAAGCTAGAGTATATGCACTCATCTCAAAGCAGAAATTACTAGTGCCCATTTTAACGACTCGATGTACGTTATAATCAGCTCACTTCCAGTACTTCCAGCGACGTCGGCCGCTGCTGCACGATCTCTTTGTGAGGTATGAATGCAGTCAAACGAGTTCTTGTCTTTTCATCACACTGTCGTATCCTCTGATTGAGAAGGACCAGACAGTATCACTCCCTCGATCCTCGATTCTTGACACGCCATTTAGGCCTAGCGTGGAATCATCTGTATCACTTGTATGCCCGTTGATCATCGAGTAGCTCCAATGGGCTCGTAGCCTCTGCTTTGGGAT